GGGGTGGGGGGGGGGGGGGGGGGGGGGGTTGACTATACACACAGAGAAAACTATTATGTCATACATAAAAATTTTGTAACTTGAAAATTACCATTTTTCTACAAACAAGGCGGCTCAGCTGGGACAGCAAAAACCTTAAATGGAATTAGTGTGATATAGTCTTGCATTTTGGCATTCATGAAGCGCAGAAAATAGCCAGTGAGCCAGAAAAACACGTATAGTATAACAACCCTGAATGCGTCAGTCCGTCAATTAATAAAAACTTAACAGGATGCATATTTACCTGAAACGTTTCGCTGCGATTCACGTCGCGGTTACTGCCTTCAGTTTGACTCCTGAGCTCATCTGATCTATTGCTCGAGATTTTAAAAAAATCAACGGACACAACAGTCGACACAGTATCAGTGCTTTGTTTTTACGAACAGTTGGTGGAGCTTTAAACGGATTCCTTAAATCACAGTTGCTTGTCTTCTAAACCGCTGAACTGACCCTCCCCGTTCTAGCCCTCGCCTCTCTGAGCTTCACATGAGAACACATTATTAAAATAATTTCTGCAGTCGTGCACGCTATTTAACCTCTTTAACAAATATGAATATATAACTATTTTGTAAAGTAATTACTAAAAATCACAATAATTTTTACGTAATAAAATAACTAATCTGGGAGTGTTTATATTTAATCAATAAGGATTTTATTTTACCTTTCTGTTTGTCTGGTTCCATCATAATCTCTCTAATACAGATAATAAAAGAGATGGTAAAACGTCTCTGAAGATATTCATATTGGGCTACTGATGATCACAAAGCGGGAATTTTGGTTTCTGTGTTTCAGCTAGTTAACGAATCAATTTCAAGGGGATACTCTCGTGATAAAGGACTTTAGCTGCTTCGGCTATTCATCATAAGTCTGTAGTGAGCAGATAGGTCCAAAGAAATGATATTGCTGTAAAGAGTGAGTATTCTTATCTCTCCATAGCAGGACACGCCGATCGATACAGGACCTGAGCTATACTCTTGCAATTATCAATGGTTGATTTAGTCTTCTGCATACATTAATAGAAGATTTAAGGTCTTTTTGGACATATGCCTAACTTTTGTTGGGGTGATGGAGTAGTCTAGCCTAGAGAAGAAAAAAAATCGCTTACGGAGAACCTGTTGTAAAGGAAACTTTGTACATAAAAAAAAACAGGGTTGATACATTATAATAGCCTACAAGTCAAATACATTGTACAAAATCTGCAATATATTAAATTATATTCTGTATTAAAATACCTTAATATCAGGATCAAACAGATACGACAAATACATTACAATAATTAGGCATACACATATTAGGGAAAATCAGACAAGAAAACAAAATGTAGCCTAATAATTAATGATAAGCTCATATAAACACGATATAATAATTATTTCGCTTATCTACCACCAATTTTTCTGTGGGCGTACTGAAATAAAAAATAAAAAAATGTTACTCTCATATTCTTAAGCTATATATATATATATATATATATATATATATATCCTAAATTTGTATTAATATTGCGATAGACTGAGCGGTTTTATCAGGTCAGTTTCATTCAGTCGTGAGCATCAGATGACGGGCTGTGTCCTGCTACATCCTAGCGGTCGCTCTCCGCAATGGGCTCAACTCAAGCCTTCAGCAAATCCCCCACACACGGACACACACCTCTCCAGCGCCATCACTGACAACTAACAAACTTCTGGCGTGGTCGTTTCGCCCAGCTGAATGTAAACCCACAGATACAACGGTCATTTTTTTGTTTGTTTTTGTTTTGTTTTATACATTAAGTATATATTAAATCGTGGACGTTCTTCAGGCAATGCGAGCTGATTTGTAGGCCTGGAGCGAGAGGCTTTAAACGGGCTTATAGAAGACTAAACCACTGCAGACTCTTGAAACGAATTATATAGGTTATGACGGATCATGCGCTAAACTGATTAACTTTTAATGACTCGAACACTTTGACTTTCTTTTTTAAATACGATTGAATGTGTGTTGCTATAAGCATTAAAAAAGAGTGGGGTCTTACCGTTGTAAACTTTTGCGCACTAGTTGCCAAAATTCAGGATTTTTTTTTACACCGGAGGACGACGTTTTTGCGCCCCCCTTGTTTTTATTGAGAGAAAGAGAGAGGCAATGCTTATGTTATGCGTTCATCGTATCTACTAATGGAACAGTGGAACCTGCGAACTAGCAGAAAAGTTAATCTGAACAGGAGCAACCCGTATCACTCACTTTTCTCTCACTAACTGTCGGGACTATATTATACAATTTGAAGTTAAGAGTAAAATCATGCTAAAATGAACAACTGAGGAAAAGCCCTACGGAGCAAAGAAAACATTTGACCCTCCTCCTTTTTCTCTGGGCGTTAGAGGTGATTTTGGGTGGATGGTGATATTTGAAGGTGAAGTTGCCTAGTAAATTGCGGAGTCCGTCCCTCATTTCCATATGAGTGTGCCCACGGGAGCTCTGCTAATCCAAAGTATCATTCACTGTCATAATGATACATTCACATAATAGCAGATCATCTCCGTTATTTTGCAGCTTGACTTTTTGAGATTTTTTCAGAGGATCTGCATTAAAAAAGAGTGGGGTCTTACCGTTGTAAACTTTTGCGCACTAGTTGCCAAAATTCAGGATTTTTTTTTACACCGGAGGACGACGTTTTTGCGCCCCCCTTGTTTTTATTGAGAGAAAGAGAGGCAATGCTTATGTTATGCGTTCATCGTATCTACTAATGGAACAGTGGAACCTGCGAACTAGCAGAAAAGTTAATCTGAACAGGAGCAACCCGTATCACTCACTTTTCTCTCACTAACTGTCGGGACTATATTATACAATTTGAAGTTAAGAGTAAAATCATGCTAAAATGAACAACTGAGGAAAAGCCCTACGGAGCAAAGAAAACATTTGACCCTCCTCCTTTTTCTCTGGGCGTTAGAGGTGATTTTGGGTGGATGGTGATATTTGAAGGTGAGTCCGTCCCTCATTTCCATATGAGTGTGCCCACGGGAGCTCTGCTAATCCAAAGTATCATTCACTGTCATAATGATACATTCACATAATAGCAGATCATCTCCGTTATTTTGCAGCTTGACTTTTTGAGATTTTTTCAGAGGATCGCTGCTTATGTTCACGAATAAGGTAAATCTTGCAGCAGAAGAATGTCCCGTCGGAAGCAAGCAAAACCACAGCAGCTGAGATCGGACGAGGACCCTTCACTTCTGGAGCTGCTCCCTGAACACGGTAAGTGCGTTGCTATCCCTTTACTGTGTGGTGCGTTATTAAATAAAATAATATTATATATAATATAATTTAATAACTGACTCTTTGTAATTCTAAAGTAGTGTTATAAAATTATTATAGTTAATGTATTTTCACATTTGCGAGCTTATTTTGAAGTTTACTAAAATTGTTATGCATTGTTTTTTTTTCGCTTTTCGTATATAGCCTACGACAGGTGCGACTTAATATCGAAAAACCGAATATCGAAATGTAATATCGAAATTTTTCTGACGTTATATTTTAACATATGTAAGTCAAAGCGGAAGGTTAATATGACGTTCAAATGCTTCTGTTAAATGTACATCAGTGTAGGCCTCGATAGATATAAGTGATTGGAAATATATCGACTTTTTAAAGTGACTCTTAAATAAAACAACAAATGATGGACTTTGGAATTCATATGAAATTTCAAATATTAGGCTAGCTAATACAACAAATAAATAACAACAAACAACGGCAAACAAAGCTAATAAAAAAAGCATACAAATACATTCACAATGCAGCGATTAGGTTAATCAAGTTGAGAGATTCACCTAAAAAACCTAATTTATCTTGTGTGTGCGTGACTATGCAGAAGCATCCTAAAAGCAGGTTTTGTTACTCGGAGACGCTCCAAACTTTTAACTGATTTTCTGCTTTAAAAAAATTAAGTAGGCTGCCTTTTTTTGACATTTAACTTTTTTTCTTAGTTTGAACTTGATATTTTTGCTTAAGTCTTCACTAAATCACTGACAAAAGGAGATAAAAAAGGAAAGAAAGTTATCAGTTTCACATGTGTATTGACGATGGAACAAACTCTCTGGCATTGCACTCATGAATTAAAACAATTCGGGCTTCTACATTTTTCTATTTTCTACAAGAACACTTACTATAAAATTAGTTCTTAATAATAATAATAATAATAATCACATGAAAGTAAAACCCTTCCTCATATATCTGTTATTCAGACTCAGAAGAGTATTGTAACATTTTTATTTTCTAGTTTATAAACATCAGCTACTTTATCATATTTATTGCTCAAATTATTTGTTTATTATTATATTATGTTATGTTATATTATAAGTATAATTAAGTTTTTTTTAAATGAATGTCAAGACTCAAACTCATGAACAAGCAATGTCTAACAGCAGCAATATATATAAATGTATTAATGTTTATTTGAAAAATAAATAAAAAATAATGTAAATATGTATGTAATCCAGATAAAATATGTATTGATAGCTTTATGAGTTTAAGTACATATTTGCCATTCTTGTGTACATATACATATAATAATCACAGTAAGTCAAGAGAGAATTAACGAGAAATGCACATTGAAAATTTATTGACAAATTAAAATAACTTATTTGAACTCTTGCAGTACTGAGCATATTATGTTGACTTGTATTTCGGTTTTTGGCAGTATACTGTTGATGTATAATCTGGATTCTACTGCATATGATTAGCAACAGAAGTATTGATTGTTTCCCCATTACAGTGATGTAATGACACGATTGGTCATGCTGTGAGAATTTAACCATTTGGTCTGACTAAGGTCTAAATGTCCAGTACACCATTGTCATTTTTCACATTAGAGGAATGTTTTCCAGTAAGAATGTTTGAGCAACTTTGTCATTTTCTTAATGAGCGCAGTGTTTCTTTAGACATTTCCTCTCTTCCTCTTTGCACAAGTATTTAAATGCTCATTTTGATTCTCTTTTGGTTGCCTGGCTTTTAAAAGAAAAAAAAAACAATTATTTTGTGTAGGAACTCAATGGTGTGTCAACAAGAAACAATCATTGTCCCCCCCACCAAGTCAGGCCTGACCTGACACAATTGTCCCTGAGGAAGGCTGCTTAAAGTGCTTTGATACTGCATGCTCTTAACCTTTGGCTTTATGGCACTGTCATGAGTGGCCAATAGATTAATGCATTAAATGCAGCTTATGCAAATACATTAAATGCAGCTTATGCAGATGTTCTGTTGACCTGAGGAAAGTGGCTCACATATGTCCTATGAAGTATTAATTATAATAGTCTTTATGTTGTCTTTCATCTCCTAACAACCAAAGAGTTCCTTTCAAACATTTCATTATGTACACCTAACACAGTTTACAACATCAAACACCAAAAATCTTCCATAAAGATTTTAATAATTTTTTTTTTTTTATTTGAATTCACTGTGTATTTTTGAACACTACTTTTCCTGTCTTTTATATTTCCCAGGTCACTAAGTAAGACTATTTAAGTAACTTTGTCCTTTAGTTAATGAGCGCAGTGTTTTTTTTAGACATTTCCTCCGTTCCTCTTTGCACATGTATTTCAATGCTCGTGTTGATTCTCTCTTGGTAAGCCACTATATAGAGAGATACCAGATATATATATATATATATATATATTATTTTTTTTTACTAGTGGGTGCAGGACACTATAGTTCATTTATGTAAGTGAGGATAGCAAAATAAATTAAACTGAAATATTATTAAAAATTATTCATACAATGGACTACCAGTAAAATGGGGTGATGTAAAATCCCAGTAAAATTTGGGATGACAAATTATTCAGACACTTTGACCTGACCATGTTTAAGTGTTTTTCTTTTAATTGCTAATGTGACCTTTTTTACACCACAGACTGAACTAAATTATGCATTGTTGGTAATTGGTTGACTTAAATTGTTATTATCTAATTGTGTACTTTAATTTAACAGCTGAATAATTTTTGGTTGATTGTTATCCATTACATACATTTCTATCAAAGTTATCTGACATTTAGGGGTGTCCCCGAATAAGGATTTGCATAGTCGAATCGGAATTTTCTAATCTTGCCGATAGTCGACTGATAGTTGAATCAGGGGCGCCTGCAGGATTTCTTCCGAGGGAACATTCCAGATGCTTTTAAAGTACTTTTCACTATACATTTTACAGGTAGCTTGAATGTAAAACATTGTCATGAATTCGTTCCCATTTGTAAAATAGCCTACAGATTAATTGTTGTATGCTAAACCGATCTTATGAAAGTGCATATAGCACAATTCTCTGCTTCTATTTGGCGTAATATTTATATGCAGAAATTGACTTTGGCATGCAAAAGACTGATAAATTCATAATTAATGGCATGGCTGGTTCAGTCGACAGAAATACGGGAAACACAGGCCTATAATAACTGCTGAAATGTTTGCTGGGCAAATCTCAGATCAGTCTGAGCGCTCATGGTACTCACAGTGCGTACAGCCGTACACCTGCAGTCGAATCCAAGAGGGTCTAGCTGCAGCCTTGCACTTGCACTCTCAGACTTGCACTCTCAGACTTGAACTCTCAGACTTGCACTCTCAGACACTTGCACTTCAGCTAGCGACGTCACTTGCAGTCTTTTATTTTGTTCTATTTATTGATTACTTTTTGTTTGAATCTCTCAACATTTTACAACAGTAGCCAGGTGGTGAAGACAAGAAAAAAGAAACTCAATTACAATGTCACTTGCAATCGCCACTTGCACTCTCCGATACCTGCGACGTCACTTGCAATCGACACAAATGGTGCGTGTTGCCAATGGAGACAAGAAGCTGTGGTGATTAAACCATTAAAACTAATTTAGTTACTATAACATACAGGGTCCTGCAAGAAAAAGTCAAGACCCGCAAATCCGTCGCCACAGAACAGCAGAATATGAACTTGAAATGTCTTGCTAAATGCACAAAGTCTCTCGTTATTCTCGGTGCGCAAAATAATTTTACCAAGGGTCAAGTCAGACATTCGACAGTCATAATTACTGACGTTAACACACAGGGAAAATGTGTAACGGATGCCTCGCAGATACAAAAATGGTGTTTTGATTAAAAGATAGTTAACATTAAACGTCAGCGAAACCCTAAGAATTCACACATTTTTTTTTACAACAGTTTCTCTCATTATAACGTTATGTATATGACAGTAGTTATTAATGTTCTGCATTTCTGTTTTGAGCTGCGCGCGCTGAAGATGACAAGTAGGCTTAGAATGACGCATTTTATAGCAGGGTTTTAATCAATAGATGCACAAAATGCCTAGAATACACCTCAAGACCCTTTCACACGGGACGCGGCAAGCGGTGGAATTTCTCTTGTAGTGGAAGCGTTTTGTGCAGTTGACCCCTTATTTACACTGCACACGTCTGCGGCGCGTTACGGCTCCGACGCGGCTGCCGGAACTGATCGCGGTCATTCTAGTCAATGCTTGTGTTTACACTAGACGCTCCCAGAAGCGGCTCTCCGCTCCGCTTAGCTAAAGATAGGCGCCTAGTCTATTTTTGACGAACGCCGCGTCCAAACCGCACAGCAAATACATAATAAAAGTAAAAAAATCATGTCAATTTCAAAAATAAATACCCTGTGCAGACTCCCAATCGTATTTCACGGTCACATATCTTTGGCAGGAGGCCAGAAATGGACGACGACGAGCGGTTCATCCTCGAAATACAAAAACACATGGTGTTATATGACATCACAAATCCTTTTTACAAGGACAATGAGCAACCAAACAACAGCTGACAGGCAAATCACGTGGTCTCGCGAATCCTACCGCTGCGCTTCTGATCCGCCTCTGGTGTGAGTTGGCACCGCGTGGAGGACGTAACAAAATCTCTTCTGAGCCGTAACGCGCCGCAGACGTGTGCAGTGTAAATCAGGGGTAAGGGGCCATTCACATATCGCGTTTTTTGCGCGCTCAAGTTCGTTATTTCAAATGTAGACGCGCGGCGCTCATAATGGAAGCCACGCGCTAATTTTTTCCAGGCGCATCCGCGCCACATCCAGTTAAAAACATTTCAACTTTTCAGAATGCGGCAAGCGCACCGCGGGTCATGTGACAAGAACCAACCAATCAACTTCATACTTTCCCGTAACAACATTGAAAGCTCAGCCAAGATGATGGAACAGCTGGTCATAGCTGTACACAGGCCCGGACTGGCCATCGGGAGCACCGGGAGAATTCCCGGTGGCCTGGC